ATTTTTCGTAAGATGAAGCATTCGTAAGTAGAGGTACCACTGTATTGATCAGAACGGAGACTGCAGTCAAGAAATCAGAAGATTAGGGTTGGGAAGGACTGCTATGAGACAGCCAGTGTGGCGTAGTAGTTTGAGTGTTGGACTACAACTTTGGAGACCAGGGTTCGATTCTCAGCTTGGCTATGAAACCCATTGATTGACCTTGGGCAAGTCACACTGTCTCAGCCTCAGGAAGGCAATGGCAAAACTTCTCTGAACAGATATTTCAAATAACAACAACAACAACCCATGAGAAGGTCTCCCTAGGGTCATCATAAGTTGGAAATGACTTGAAGGCACACAACAACAACAACAACAGCAAGCTATGAAAGAACTGGACAAGATCACTAAATGTAATGACATCTACACTAAAGTGAGGATCATCCAAGCCATTGTATTCCCTGACACGATCTGCAGATGTGAAAGTTGGACAGTTTTTTAAAAAGGCAATAGGAAGTAGATCAATTTATTTGAGACACGGTGCTGGAGAATAGTACTGAGAATACCCTAGATAGGCAAGAAGACAAATAAATGGGTTTTAGAACAGATCAAGCCTGAACTCTCTCTGGAGGCCAGGATGAGTAAATTGAGGCTATCATACTTTGGCCACATCATGAGGGAATATGAATCATTAGAAAAGACTGATGCTAGGAAAGGTGGAAGGCAGCAGAAAGAGAGAAGGACTGCATGTTAGATGGCTAGACTCAATCAAGTCTAAGTCTGCAAACTCTGATCAGAGAGGTTTGAGAACAGAAGGTCTTGGAGATGTCTTATCCACAGGATCGCCATAAGTCGAGGTCAGCGCAAGGGCAGCTAACAATTACAAGTAACTGTTTATTAACATTTTATTTATTTATTTATTTATTTCCATGTATTTATTTATGATTGATGAGTTACATTTATAGTCCGTCTTTCCTCTGATGAGTTCAAGGTGGCACACATAGCTTGGGATTTCTCCTCCCCCTACATGGTAGTACAGGGATAGGC